GCTTAAATCAGACTGAAGGCGGCGTAGTTCTAGGTTTTCTAGTTCTAGAATTTCAAGTCTGGTGGCATAAGGTATTCTGCAACAAGTAGAGAAGTGGAGAACTCTTCTTGTGAAATATTTCTGGACTTTCTCAACTGTGTTAATATCAGATACATAATGTGAGTTCCAGACTGCTGAGCTGTATTCGAGTATTAGTCTAGCAAACATTTTGTATGCTCTAGTTAGTAGTGTAATATTACCAGAGAAAAAGCTACATAAGATTAGGTTAACAACTCTTAACGCCTTTTTGGCTATGTAGTTACAGTGGGCTCTAGCACTTAGATCATTAGAGATGAGTACTCCAAGATCCTTGACAGAGCTTGGATCATCAACAAGGTCTTGACTATTCAGCTTGTATTTTATTTTCTGATTTTTTTTGCCAATATGTAGGACAGAGCATTTATTTGTTGAGATTTGAAGTTGCCATTTGTTTGATCATTCTGATACATAATCAAGGTCTTTTTGAAGGGTAGCAGTATTGTCTGTGGTGTTGAATAGATTTACATCATCAGCGAAGAGAACACAGTTGCTCTTGATATGATCACAGAGGTCATTTATGTAGAGTATGAAGAAAGTTAGTCCTAGAACACTGCCTTGGGGGACACCATTGTTGACTGGTACAGAATTTGATAGGATGCTCCCAATTTTGACCATTTGTTGTCTGTTTGACAGGAATGCTTCTATCCAGTTATGCAGGTGTCCAGAGATACCGTAAGATTTTAGTTTTAGGAGTAGTTTGTCATGTACCACTGAATCAAAGGCTTTACAGAAGTCTATGTAGATTGCGTATATTGCTTTGTCCTGATCGAGTTGTGAAGTCCATATGTTTTTGCAGTGTAAGAGTTGCAGATTACATGATAGTTTTTTCCTAAAACCAAATTGTTTATTAGAGAGTAGGTTGTTTGTTTCTAAGTGGAGGATGATGGATTGGTTAATAATTGATTCCATGACTTTAGAGGTGACGCAGCATAAAGAGATTGGTCTGTAATTTTCAACTAGGCTGGGGTCTTCCTTTTTGAAGATGGGGATGACAGTGGCTTTTGACCATAGGTTTGGCAAGGAACTGGTCCTGAAAGATTTTTCAAAGTTTATGCTTAGAAGTTCAGCTATGACAGTGGATATCTTTTTAAAGAAGTAGGCACATATTCCGTCCAGTCCAGTAGATAGAGATGGTTTTAGATTGTGTGGTGCTTTTTCAACATTGTCTTCTGTAAAATTGATATGTATTAGATCATTGTAGTTGTCTGTGGTTCAACTAGGAAATACTGGGCATGATCCATTGCTGTTTACAAATACTGAGCCAAAGAATGTGTTAAAGAGGTTGGCTTTAATGGTGTCATCGTTGCAGTCTTTACCATTAGGTCTTTTCAGGGGTGGGATGGACCTTGAGTCTTTTAGTTTGTTGTTTACAAAATTGTAGAAAGCGCAGGTGGAATTGGTGCGTAGAAGGTTTTCTTCTTGTTTAATGTGATAATTGGTGCATTCAGTCTTTATCTGGTGGCATAAATTTTTGTATCGGCTTTTGAAGTTGGCAACGTGACCAAATTTGTTTTTCCGCCAAAGCGATTTCTTTTTGGATTGAAGCTTCCTTATTGTTATGGGTAATTTGTTTTTTCTGGATTTGGGAGTTGTTAATGGTACATATAGTTTGATGACTCTTTTGACTTCAAGTAAAAATATGTTGTAATGGTCTTCTACAGTATTGCATCCAGTGAATAGAAATTGCCAATCAAGGGATGAGAGAGTTTATAAGATCATAGTTGCCTTTTTTGAAATTATAATTGGGGATTCCATCATTGTGATTATTTTTGTGTGGACGTATGTTGAGACAAAAGTCAATCATGTTCTGGTCACTGTTGGAAAAGGGTTCTTTAATTTGTATTTCGTAAATTGAATTAAAATTATTGCAGAAGATGAGATTGAGGCAGTTGTTAAGGCTAGTGTTGTTGGTTACTAGTTGTTCTAGTCCTGGATTTGTTACTATAATATGTAGTATTGTTACTATAATATGTAGTATCAGTCCTATTTTTCCCCATTAGTCTACTGATTTGGTCTCATCAACTTTGATATTCTGGAAAGGATTCTGCCTTCAGAAAATCAAAATAGCTGGCTATTCCTAGGAAGATTTCAAAGTCCTTTGTAGATTAGTTTTCATGAAATTGATTATAAGCATTGAAGTGGTTGAAGATTCTAATAATTTGCCTTCCCAAGTGATAACAAGTGTCATATTACATACTTCCTAATGAGATATGTTTGGCTTTCATTGTCCCTGGATTTAAGAACTGGATGAAAATGCAAGTCTTTTCCCAATCTTTTAATTGTTAATTAGTTAATGATTATGTAGTGGTTTTTATTTTAATTTTGGTTTCAATTTTTTTAATGTAGTTTGTATTTTTTATTGTCAGAAAACATGAATTTTGCAATAAACAGAAATGTGAGTTATATGTTCAGTATTAAAGAAATAAAGATAATGCATTTTCAACCAATAAAAAGCACACAAGATAAATAACAATATGATTTTATTTAATAACATTTTAAACACATAAAGGAAATGTTTATATGAACAAGTAAAACACACACACATTTATGAATGTGGATTACAAAATCAATATCACTTTCACACAGTCTTCAAGTATCTTTGCTCCCTTCTAAAAGAAGAGAGGATCATCTAGCTATTTTAACAAAGGATAATAGTGTGATTGCACAATTTTCTAAAATCCAAAATGGAGCATCTTCCTTGCCAATGTTGTGCTAAAAACATGTCTGCTCAAAATTGTCTCTTTGCATACTTTGCTGTAGCAATAGCTTCTATGATTGACATGTGAAAATTACCTTTTCCTACTTGGTTAAGGTCTTGTATGCTCTCTGGGTAAAAAGAAAATCAGCAGGTTTTTAGATTTCAGTACAAGACAAGAAGTCATTATTTGAATTCTCTGCCGACTGGGGAAAGTCCCAAGAATTTTTGAGTAGCCTACTGCTGCTTGATAATGATTTGAGGCTCCAGCATTTTAAGTCCAGACTAAGGTTGGACATTGGGTACAAAATGAAAATTAGATGTAACAAACTATTTTTCATTTAATCAAAATGTTTTAAACATTTTACTATATCACAATATTCCTCTTAATTGAAAATAATGTATAACTTTTGTAAACAAAAAACAGTAAAAAAAAACCAATAAGTAGCCAACTTTTGTAAACAAAAAACAGTAAAAAACAACAACAATAAGTAGCCAAATCTAAAAAATCATTGGGGTAGAGACCTATTATAAAAACATGCATGAGGAAAAATAGGGAGTTGAGATATTAAGTTTAAATTTATAATATTCATTTTAAGGCTAATATTACAACTAAAGTATAGAAATTCTGCTGATGCCCTTTTCAAGTAGAGAAATGGAAAAGATTGTAGGCTGAATTTTAATTAACTGCTGGTGGGCTGAAAATAAGAGATATTAGTATTTTGCAGAGAAGTGGGACATTAAACACAAGCAATTCTATGGATTCAAATTCCCAATAAGAAGAACACTTAGATAATACAGTATCTGGGATTTAAAAAGAAAGATGTTGAAATAATCAAGCAAAAATCTGTACACCATACGATAAAATTGAAAGGTTTGCACACAATTTTGTTTTCAGAGCTCACTTTTACCAGGAGAAAGATCTTTAAAATCAATTGGAGAAGATGCTTACGAAGTTAAGATAACTGGGTGAATGGATAGTAATTTCAACTGATTTGTTTTCTTAAAAATCCCCATTTATAATTGTTTAAGCACCCTCTATAAAAAAAAAAATTATGTTGCAAATCTACAAATTTCAAAGTGGAGAACAAGATTTGAAGCCAGGATTTAAATCCATTTTTTCTGTGAGATTTACATCAATTCATCTTGCTTGACATTTTCCTCAACAATTGACATATTCCTTGCATAAATAAATATATTTCCATTTGTATTCTACAGAGAGCATAAACCAAAAAGAGAAGTAGAATTTTCAGAAAAAAAGATAACTTCATTATATTTCTAGTCATTGGCAATGCACAGAATTATTTCCCTGTCCCTTTGTCTGTTTTTTGCTTTGTGGTGTTCCTTAGTTCAAGCTTCATTCAAGCAAAATTTGCTTTCCCCAATATTTTGTATAATAACTGTAGTTATCTTTTTCTAATCTGACATGCATCATATATTTTCGTGGCTGCCACTTAGGAAATCGTATCTATCTCTTCAGTGGTGTATTTCAAAACATTTTGCCACCGGTTCGATTAGCGTGGTTTGGTGGGCGCGCGCACCAAATGCACACTTTGTGCAGGCGCAGAGGCTTTCCGACTCACCTCCTGCAATCCTGCACTATCCCTGTTGCTTCAGCAGCTGCCGCGTGGCAATCTGCTGTGCCGCGCAAAGCAGCTGCGCTTCAAAAACAGGAATAAAAGTTAGTATGGGAGCCGAAGCGGGCGGGTGGGCCCAGCAGAGTGTTGGAGAGAACCGGTTCGGTCTTTTCTGCTCAGCAGCGCTACCTGCTCAGCAGAACTGGGCCAAACAGGTAGAATACCACCACTATATCTGTTGCTCTTTAGGTATTTACTCCTGCCTAAATATAGAAAATGTGTTCCTTTTTTCTAAACGATATGCCTAGACATTTGCTGACTTTGAAAATATTATAAGGAGATATTTTATCTCCCCAGGCTTAAATAATAGTTATATGGAAAGGAGACATGTGTGACCTATTTACCAGAGATTGGAAACTGAAGTGCTTTATTCCAAATTTCTTTGTTTTCTTTTCTTTTCTTTTTTATATTTATTTTCTCTGCACATACACACACACACACACACCCTTGTCATTTGCATTTGGATTTTTGGCCTGTCTGAATTTTCTTTTACATAATGGACTTTCTTTGTTGTGCTTTGTTTAAGCAACTTGGTTATAGTGAAACTCTGCTGTTTTAAAATGAATGCTACTCTGTGACTCTTTCAACAGAGTGGAGGCCTCAATATCTTGTGAAGTATGTGAAGCCTCAGGGGAAATGAAGGAACCACTGAAACAATGTATAGCTTGGCTTCAAGCTTATTTCACTGAGCCCCAGTTAATGCTGAAACTTCCAGTGCCTCCTTTTCACCATCATCTCCTAGAACAAGGTCTGTATGTCTTGTAGTATAATATTTGGAACTTTTTATATGATGTACACTTCTGTTGTTTTTTTTATAAGGTTTGTACTTGGCTTTTGAGTAACACATTAGTGATTAAAATCTGCAAAAAGTTATGATTTTATTTTATTGATATCAAAATCAAATACAGTGGAAGTCTGTACAGGTCTGCTAACCCTGCTTGCTCAAACTTCTAAAACACAAGAGTGTTTCTCAATCACAGCAACTTGAAAAACATGTTGCTTTCAACTCCCAGTGTTCCCCAGGCCACACAACGTAAAATGGCTGAGTTTGAGAAATACTGTGCTAAAATAATGCTTCAGTGGGATTCAGTTACATGACACAGTCATCAGATCTTCATTTAATGACAATAGAGCTAAAGAAGCTTCTTGGATGAGAAGTGAAACGGCTTCAAAGAAAAACAAGAAAGTTCAGTTGCCTCTTGAAAAAAAAGCACCTTTGGGACTTTACTGACAATAGTTTAATTATCATCTGGAAGAAACTGCATGCAATAAAATAGAGTTTAAAGTTCCATATTTCTAAAATATGCTATTTATTTCTATTGTTAAACACAAGAGAAGTAGGGATTTTGCTTTTTTCTGACAGATGGTATCAGGGACAGTACCTCCAGTCACTAGCAGCAGGTTCCTTAAGCTTCTTGAAATTACAGGGGGGCGGGGGGGGGGGGTTTAAGAAAAAAATATTTTAACCAGATTAATATTTATTGATATGAATGGCTTAAACTAAAAATAGGTTCAATTGAATTTTAGCTTAAATTTTGCACAACTGTGTTTTGTTTCCTCATTTCGAAGTCTGGAATAATGTTTGAGAACACCATTTCATTTGTCTTGCACCTTTGCACACATAAAAAAATTCATATACTGAATTATATAATTATTATTGTTGGCTGAATTATTAGAATGTAGATCACTGACATATTTATCAGAAATAATGTGGGAATTTTCACTAGAGATAGCCAGAGTTCTTCATTTCTTACATTGCTTTTCTGCTGGTTGGCTGTCCCTTCATGCAGCTCTTAAACTTTCCAGTTTTGCAGTGATGATTTCAATAACTAATGTGAGAATGGCTACGTGATTTGTTTTTGTTGCAGTTTTTTTCATCTCATTATGGGAAGTGATTTTTATTCTTCAAAATGAGCGATGTTAATATACTGTACTGGTTTTTGTTTTGCCTATGTGTTAGCAACTATCGTTGCATTTAGATCCTTTTTTTGCATTCTATTACTCCAAAATACATATTTAATTTGCACTTATATTCAGATGTGGATTTATTCTTCAGCTGCTTTGAATAATAAATGTTGATATATGAAGAACTGCATCCCGTCTATTTTGACTTTGGTATTTTTCTGTAAAATTGACAAAGCTTTCCTTGGCTACAGCTATATCAAAATATAAATGAAGTAAAATTGATGAATCTATTGTCAATTTGTTGTTGCTATTTTCTTGATAAAACCCCTTTATAGTGGCAGTCATAACCATATATACGATGGAGCAAATTGACTAAAATTAATGGGATTGCTTTACCTTTATTTACTAAATTGTTGCTATATGCAGTTGTTAAAAACCAGGCAAGAAATACCTCAAATTACAATCTCCTTGACATTTGATCCTCACTGAGCTTTTCATATATAAATATTTAAGAATAAAAAACAACGCAGAGCTAGGGATTATGGAAAGGGATATTATGTATTGTAGTGACATTTTAGCAGATAGTAGAAAATTTACAGGAGAGAAAAATAGGTTATTCCATGGCTAGGCAGACATTTTAGTTATTTTTGCATGGAGATAGAGTGATGAAACTTAAAAAGGCAAGTGTAGTACAGTGATTAAAATGTTGAAGTGGCACCAAAGAAATCCACATTGAAGTCCATTTTCTGTCACTGGATGATTTGGGGCTATTCACTCTCTTAGCACAACCCCCTGAAAAATGCTATAGTTTTGGAGGAAGATGGGAGAACGTGGACATGTTCTATGCACATGGCCTTGACCAAGGAATAAATCTGAGAGCCCCGGTGGCACAGTGGTTAGAGTTCAGTACTACAAACTACTTCTCCTGATAGCCAGCTGCCTGCAATTTGGCAGATCAAATCCAGGCTCAAGGTTGACTCAGACTTCCATTCTTCTGAGATGGTTAAAATGAAGACCTAGGTTGTTGGGGGCAATATGCTGACTCTGTAAACCACTTAGAGAGGGCTGTAAAGCACTGTAATGTGGTATATAAGTCTAAGTGCTATTGCTATAAATATAAATCCCTCTGCAGGGCAAAATATTTATCATGTAGCTTCTAAGTCCAGATAGATGTAAATTTATTTTCCTATTGAAATGTTACATTATCTGATTGTTTATTATTAGATTCTTCTTGAACGACACCCCCCCCCCC